CCTTATCTGGGATAGGGGCCTGGTATGGATTTTGAAAGGGCCACACATATTTTTTTCACATTTTAGGCTTTTTTTTACCCACCAACATAATGTTTCCCAAAACAATTACTTTTATTATAGCATGTCAACTGTCAAAGATACCAGTGTGCTTATTTCAGTTCTCAACCGAATCTTCAAGCCCTTCAATGGCTGGTGTCATAACTGATCACATGTGCAGCACCATGGCAACTGCAATCAAAATAGAGGCTCCTTCCTTGCATGTACAGGATAAGAGGTTGCAGTTCTCCTTTAAAATTACACTAAAATCAGGAATTAAATCTTAAAAATACATTAAGTACCTTAACTGTTCACAAAAATGTAACTTATTTGTGTATCGGCTGTAGATCCTCAAATCATCTCTGAATTAGTGATGGCACTGTCCTTCCTTCTGGAGGGTGGCCACTTTCATTCCCCATGGTCCCTGTGTGTGTTGTAAAGTAGTCACCACTCCAAGATCACTCCCTGATGGACTACAATCTCATGTTTAGTGTATTCATTTGTATTTAGATTGTAGTCCATCAGGGGAGCGAGCTTGGAGCGGTGGCTACTTTACAACACACACAGGGACCATGGGGAACAGTAGTAGCCCCCCTCCAGAAGGAAGGACAGTGTCAGCACCAATTCAAAGATGATTTGAGGATCTACAGCTGAGTGATACACAAATAAGATACAGTTTTGTTAATAGTTAAGGTATTTGAATGCATTTTTAAGATTTTACTGCTGAGTTTAATGTCACTTTAAGTTAAGTAAGGGATGGATGGAACCTCCGCCAGTTTTTTACTGTTGTCTGTTTCCCCATTCCCTAACTTCCTGTCAGTTAGGCTGTTCCCAGAACAAAAAGTACAAAGAAAAAATATCTTTGACGGACACCTGGACAGATAGCAGTAAAACCTGACAGGGGTGATGACATTTCTCCATTCCATCCTACATTAAGGGGGGAAAAAACAAGTCTTGAATATAGATAGACTGCACACATTACTATCAGACACACATTGTTATTATAGTATAATTGAACAAAAATGGAACGGTTGCCCATAACAACCAAGCAGCACTCTTGTTTATATTCTCCAAAGGATAAAAGGTGAAAGCTGATTGGTTGCTGTTAGCAGCATCTCCAGTGTGGTTCTCAGGTTCTTCGCCATTGTAACCTCAGCTTGGACCAGAGCCTGCTCAGGGTATATATGCGTTGTAATTGATGGCTCAGTCTATACTGTTTACACTGCACTGACGTGATGAATGAAAGTGACACATTTACTGGAGCCTTCCACGGGGAGATGAGGCTCTGATCCGGGAGAGGTGAAGCGGAAATCCCCCGGCGATGGAGCGGGCCCCGCACTGGAGTCACACTGAAAAGCCTTGATTTCCGGCTGAGTGCGGCTGCGTGTTGGAACGTCTGCCCGTCCCCGGTGCTGGATAACCCGCATCTTATATATGTAACGGGGATCGGATCGGGGGATGCCCCGTTATGAGAGAATAATAGCGGGGAAGAGGCGATTCCTGCACCCCTCCCCTGCTCTCTGCAGTGTTCCCGGACCTGGATACACGGAGCCTGGGAGCTTTCTGCATGAATCAGCAGCCCCTTGTCATAATGTCCTGATGCAGTGATCCCAGCCCGCCTGCCAAACCGTGTCCTTCCTCTAGCCATAGGTGTCCCTACACATGCACATAGGTACCGATGGGAACTACAAGCCATGAATAAGGTTTACTTCAATATATAACCCTTACCAAGGGCTGTGTGTGACTAGCGATTGCAGTATAAATGGTACTGTACAGCAGGTTAGTCGGTGTCATCTTTTGAAGTGTTGCCGAATGCCTCATAGATGACACCATAAAGTAGGTCAGATAAGTTGGTGCAATTATATCTACAGTGTAGCCCCCCTAAACTATAGACAGCAGATGAGTCGGTGCAATCTTATCTGCAGTGTAGTCCTGTGTCCCCTATACTATAGACAGCAGATGAATCCGTGCAATCTTATCTACAGTGTAGTCCTGTGTCCCCTATACTATAGACAGCAGATCAATCAGTGCAATCTTATCTACAGTGTAGCCCCCTATATTATAGATAGCAGATGATTCGGTGCAATTTTAGCTATAGTGTAGCCCCTTATACTACTGACAGCAGATGAGTCAATTGCAATCTTATCTACAGTGTAGTCCTGTGATCCATACATTATAGACAGCAGATGAGTCGGTGCAATCCTATTTACAGTGTGGCTCCCTATAATATAGACAGCAGATGAATCAGTGCAATCTTATCTACAGTGTAGCCCTGTGCCCCCTATACTATATACAGCAGATGAGTCGGTGCAATCCTATTTACAGTGTGGCCCCCTTTACTGTAGACAGCAGATGAGTCGGTGCAATCCGATTTACAGTGTAGCACCCTATACTATAGACAGCAGATAAGTCGGTGCAATCTTATCCACAGTGTAGTCCTGTGACCCATATATTATAGACAGTGTCATGTTATCTACATGGCAGTCGTCTGCTCCATATGCTATAGATCAGTGGTTCTCAACCTGTGTAACCTCGGGACCCACATGTTTCCTTGGTCATTAAGGCGTGAATACCGTACAGCAGATGAGTCGGTGTCATATAAGTGTTGTCTTAATGCCACATATACCATAGATAATTCCATACAGCAGGTCAGATGAGTTGGTGCAGTCTTATCAACAGTGTAGTCCAGTGCCCCATATACTATAGACTGTAAATGAGTCGGTGTCACAACATGATATCTACAAGGTAGTCCTGTACCCCCTATACTACTAGACCTCAAATGAGTTGGTGTCAGGTCAACTACAAACTAGTCCTCCGCTCCATATACTATAGATCAGGAGTAGGCAACCTTGCCCCTCCAGCTGTTGTGGAACTAGGCATTGCAAGAATCTGGCAGCCACAGATGTGACTCCCAGATGCAGAGGCATGATGGCATTTGTAGTTTCACAACAGCTTGAAGTGTGAATATCAACCTACCTCTATAGATGATGCAGTACAGCAGATGAGTCGGTGCCATCTTATATAGAGTAGTCTTAATTCCCCATATACCATATATGATGCCATATAGTAGGTACCAAGAGTCGGTGCAATATAGTCCAGTGCTCCACATAGGATGTCAGAGGAGTCGGTGTGACATTATACAGATAATACTGTACAGCAGACAAGCCAGTATCGTCATGCCCCCTATATACTATACATGATACTGTGTATTAGATGAGTTTGTGCTATGTTATATACAGTATAGTCCTGTCCGCTATATACTATACAGAAGTCTGTGTATTAGATGCGTTTGTGTCATCTTATATACAGCATAGTCCTGTCCCCTATATACTATACGTGATACTGTGTATTAGATGAGTCAGTGCCATCTTATAAGCAGTATAGTCCTGTCCCCTACATACTATACATAAGTCTGTATTAGATGAGTCAGTGCCATCTTATATACAGTATAGTCCTGTCCCCTACATACCATACAGAAGTCTGTGTATTAGATAAGCCAGTGCCATCTTATATACAGTATAGTCCTGTCCCCTACATACTATACATAAGTCTGTGTATTAGATGAGTCAGTGCCATCTTATATGCAGTATAGTCCTGCCCCCTACATACTATACATAAGTCTGTGTATTAGATGAGTCAGTGTCATCTTATATACAGTATAGTCCTGTCCCCTATATACTATACAGAAGTCGGTGTATTAGATGAGTTTGTGTGATCTTATATACAGTATAGTCCTGTCCCCTATATACTATACATGATGCTGTGTATTAGATGAGTCAGTGCCATCTTATATACAGTATAGTCCTGTCCCCCATATACTATATATGATTCTGTGTATTAGAGGAGTCGGTGTCATTTTATGTGCAGTGCAGTCCTGTGCCCCATATATACTCTCTTTATGCTGAGCTCCAGCACAGAAATCTGGCTTTGCCCACTATAAGAACTTAAATGACAATTGATTTTTATGTCCAGTGCTGTATATATTCTCATTGCTAGGAAATAGATTGGTAGCAGAAGTCATCCGGTCGCCATTAAAAATGGTGGCCTTCACACAGCACTACCATGTAAGAGTGTTACATCCAGCCGTGTGCTGTAAATCACACCGTTCTGATTGCAAAGGCATGCCTGCTAAGGTGGACCAACACAGATGGTGGAATTGGTGCAATTGATCCCCCCTATCAATCACTGCCATATCTAAACTATAAACTGTCAAAAAGCAGGCCATACACATTTCTATAAAATGCTATGCAAGTTAGGGAAATTAATTTGTTTGCAATTGCTAATCAATGGGATTATCTAGAGAGGCAATCAATCAGTGGCTTTCCATAGGCATCTATAAATAGAACAGTTTATGAGCTGTAATTACAAGGGGGGGGGGGGGGGGGTGAACAAAAAGTGGGAGAGGGGTTGCAACAACAAGATGGTAGTTGAGTTGTAGCCATAAGAGGGGTTACCAAAGCACGTCATGTTAAAAGGAATCTGTCCCCACTATCCGTTAGATGAACTATTCTTGTTCTGAAGCTATTTTCACTGATGGCTTAGCAGAGCAGGTCACTGTAAAGCTAACACTGTGTAAAATGGCTGAACATCATTCTGCATCTGGTCATATTTAGCAGAATTCATCAGCAAAGTCACCCCTTAGGATAGCTTTTCCTATGCAGCATACCTAGTTAAAGCAATCAGAGTATTTAAAACTGTTAGATAAATGCGAAATAGATATGGGCTCCTAGCAGTCTAGGCAGATAGCCGGTGCCCTGTGCTAGTATGTAATGGAATGCACTGATATAGTAACAGGTCCGCTTTGCTGCATGCCCATCACTCAGCAGGACCTGGTTGCCAGGGTGGCGTAAAAACCATGGCAGCCAGTAATGGAAAGGTGTCTGACTAGGGTTATAAATAAACATCCTCCATTAAACCAGCTGCATATGGATTTATTAAGAATGAGATGAATATTCATTACTTACAAGCATTGGTGACTGCAAAGCTGTTAGCTACCTCGAGATTGTCGATATGGGGCGTCAGCCTAAACTCTGAAGTGGAATATAGAACCATCCCTACTCGAAATGCACTGTATTCCTGATCTGCACCCCTTGGAAATAACCCTCCTGGAAAGAGATGGCATACAAATACATTTAATAAAAATACAGGCGGTGATTAAAAAAAAAAAAAAAAAGATGATATTCTTGATACATACAGTGCCCATGCAAAGACATTGCCTCTGCTAACAGCTGATCTCATGACTAGCGTTATTGCATAGCAACTGCCTGGGAAGCTTTGATCAGGATAGCCATCAATATGCAGATTGAATGGTGCATTCTGATCCTTCCTCATCACCCCAGCCTAGCACATTGACTAAAGCTTTTCCCTGCCCCACATCTAGTCCATTCTTGCCAAAATCAGACACAAAGCTGCCATTGGGGGAGGCTTACCTATTTGTATGCTATTCGAATATACCCCAATGATCAGTCCCCAAAGAACAGGAACCAGGAAGACAGAAATAGGCATAATCTTTTGCATTTCCAAGAAAAAAAATTGGATGATTCAGGAAAAGAGAAAAAAAAATAACACGTCCAAAGAAAATGTAGCAATCTGTCGATTCGGATCAGCTGTACAGAGGTGAAATCATTGGAAATCCGAATGAGAGATCAAATCTATAAAGAGGACCGGTAGAGTTGCTGAGGATGCTGGTTGCCCTGGTTCCTGAATTAAAAAAGAAGGCTTGGATGCAGTTGTTGGTGATGTGGTCCCAGTGTCTCAGTATTGTTCATTCAGACACTCACACAGAGAGGCTGGCAGATGCAGACGTGAGCGCGCAGCGGGAGCGAGCAGAAAGAGCAGTGCACAATGTACCCCCCCCTTCTCTCCCCTACCCCTTCCTTCCGGAGCAGCTAGCTCTGGTGTCACAGCGCCCCACTATCCTGCTCCGCTCACTGCACCGTGCGCTGCCTGGGGTCCCTGAGCAGGCTCAGCTTCAGCACCACGGACAGCGAGTGGAGCGGGATCAACCAATAGCCGCCCTGCTGATGCGCACTCCCCCCTCCCGATGCGCACTTCTTTCCGCTCTCCCCAACAGCTCACAGTCAAGGCGATCAGCTCACCCCTCCGTCTGCCAGCCAAACTGTCCCTCTTCTTAAAAACGGGCAAAAATTCAAAGGGATGCAGAACAGGAGCATAGTGCATTTCAAAAGGGAAAATAAAAGTAAATGCAAAGTCTTCCTTTTATCACCCAAAGCGAATTCCCCTATCCCTCCCACCTCTTCTTTTTTGTTCCAGGTAGCTTGTTCTTGAGACAAAGATCTCGTGTGCTGTCAAAGGCAAGGCAAGCGAAATAAATGGGATCATGTGAATAACTCAGCCTTTTATAGAATTCCAGGTCCAACAGCTAGCGTTTCACTAAATTGCCAGTAATTACATGGCTTGAAAATGTTTTATTTGATTGGCTGCCTTTATGTTTTTTTACCCAAAATGGAAGTGCACTTTCCTAATGATTGTTATGAGGGAACTGCTGTTCATTCGTTTTGGAAAGGATTATTGGATGCAGAAGAATGTGAGGAATTCTCTGTCAGAGCACTAATTAAATCAATCTGCTCACAGATTCGTTCATTTCAAATAAAGTGTATTCAGTAATCTGCAGAGAAACTTTAGTCATTACAAGCTAGCGAGCTGATGCTATATAATTATCTGTCTGCAAAGTAACCTTGTGCCTGGGAAGGCTAATATAAGGGTGAGGGGGAAAAAAAGATATTTTTAGGCATGAATTTTCTATGAAGAAGAACTTGTTTGATGACTCTTCTTCACCGGGAGATGCCATTAACCTGTTAAATGCCTGCTTTTGCCCAGCTGGGCAACTGCAGCCTTTATGCATGTTTTGCATCTAGAAATAAGATTTTGATGTTACAGTACATGGATAATTGCACATATAATGTTTAACCTTTGCAAAATGCTGAAGTTGCTGCCACAAGATAATTAGCATTCAAGTCCCTTTTTTTAAATGACTTCATTGTCTAATTCTCATACTTCCCACACAGCTTTATAGGATATTGTGCGTTGCTATGGAAACTAGGAAGTCGGTATGGAATCGTGCTGACTGGTTGTCACTTAGAGCCTTTAACTAGCACCAAGAATTGCTAGGTTTGGTACAGTCACATCCACACTTCAGATCCTTCTAAAAAAAAAATCTAAGTTATTATATCTATGGGGTTTGTTTCATGATAGAATGTGGTCATTCCTGATTAACAGATTGGTATTATCTTTCTGTGATCAGATAGAATGCTCAATAAATAGATGTAAACTTCATGTCACTGAGCTCGTCATAGCTTGTTTGCAAAACATCAGATGTGATTAGTGTCATGGTGGAGGGATAGCGCTGACTACTTGCATTTTAATAAGACCAACATTTTACCATCCAATCACATACAACTGCAACTGTGGCCCACTAACAAGACAAAACATAGTTTTAGATAAAGGGATTGGAGTTTTATGATTAGGTAGTTAGTGGTTACATTTGTAGTTTAATTTAGGCCATGTTTGTAAGGGACTGATTGATGAACAATAGGGCTAAGACAATGGAGGTGTTGTCCATCACAATCATGAATATATTTTTACTGTGCGGGATAAAAGAGAAGACTTGTTACACTGTAATGGAAAACAGACCTATTTATTAAGTCACACATTGTTTATATAGCACATTAGAAACCATAATACATATTTTTATTTCAGTGTTGCAGTTTTGAACTGTAGCTGTCCATTATCTATATATATAAGTCTATGGAGGCTATGTATGTTGTATGTTGCCAAGTAATTTGATGTTAACTAAAAACAGGTTTTACAGTGGACATTGTGCAATGAAGAAGGCTCCCTACAACCCCTTTGTAAGAACCAAACCTTTTTTTTTACACTTTTGATGGGGGGTTGACAGGTCTTAATTGCTCTATTTGTCCCTGGGGGTATTCCATCTCACTTTCTGTTATTTAACCAGGACTAGGGATGGTCCGCCGGTTCGATTTGAACACGAGCTCGAATCGAACGTCGGCCGGTCGCGCATCCGCGGAACTTTATGGGATGTTCGCGGTCTGTTCGACCACGCAACGTCCTAGACTGCAAAGAGCCCTCCGAAGCTCTAATTGGTTAAAGACGAGCACCTGACCACAGGTCAGGTGCAAGACTTTGCCCAATCAGGGCTCAGTACTCATTTGGAGCCATGATTGGGCAAAGTCATGATCACTCTGCCCAATCTGATCTGCCTATCAGATGCCGGCAAACTACACAATTGGGCGCCCAATTGTTTATGTTTTGCCGTCATCTGTCAAAAGGAGTTGGCAGGGAAAGGACGGGATTGGGTTTGTTTTTTTTTATATAAAAGACTTGTTTCAATGAAAGGATTTTATCAAAAGTCTGGACTTTTTAATAACTATTTTATTTAACCCTTTAGTGAATAGTACAAGTACCCCATACTCATTCACACGGGTGGGGGGCGGCATCTGGGTGCCCCTTAATTAAAGGGGTACACCGATGCAAATAAGACCCCTTGCCCGCAGACACCCACAACCAACAGGTCAGGGTTGTGGGGACGAGGCCCTTGTCCCCATCGGCACGGGGACACCCTCCCAGTGCTGAGGGCATGTGGCTTGGTGTGGGAGGGAGGGAGGGGGCGCTTGCTTGTCCCCCCCCTTTCCGGCCCTGCCAGGCCTATGCTTGGATCTGGTATGGAATTTTAGGGGGGCCCCACGTCCCCCCCTCCGTTTTTCGGGGTGGGGTTCCTCCTTAAAATTCCTACCAGACCTTGAGGGCCTGGTATGAGTTTTAGGGGGAACCCACACACACTTTTTTTGTTACATGGGGTCCCTCCTCACTATTCCTACCAGACCTTAAGGGTCTGGTATGACTTTTAGGGGGAACCCTACGCGTTAAAAAAAAAAGGTCCCTCCTAACATTTCTACCAGACCTAAAGGGTCTGGTATTGTTTGGGAGGGAGAGCTGCACACTTTTAGAGTAAAAAAAAAATTCCTTTTTTTTCCCTTTAGAAATGTCAGTTCTGCTGCAGCAGGTTCTATACAGCCTACAGATCCGCCACTTCACAGGCAGGTTAAGGGGACCCCCCAGGCAGGATATTTGAAGGCATTTTTTATTTTTATTCTTACCCTTTAAGTGATGTTAAAATCACTGCTCCTTTAAAAACATTTTTTTTTTCATTGATTCCTGTCCCCCAGAGCAGTACCCGGACACCCATACACCTTTTATGGCCAATAACTTGCATATAAACCCTCTTAAAGGGGACAATCATTTTCAAAAGTTCGACCCCCATTGACTTGCTTTAGGTTCAAGTTCCTTGCTGTCTCTCCTCACTCTCTCTCCTGGCTGTTGCTCCTCTGTCTTCCCTGGCTGTCTCTCCTCACTCTCTCCCCTGGCTGTCTCTCCTCTCTCTTCCTTGGCTGTCTCTCCTAGTTCTCTCTCCTGGCTGTCTCTCCTAGTTCTCTCTCCTGGCTGTCTCTCCTAGTTCTCTCTCCTGGCTGTCTCTCCTCTATCCACTGACTGTTTCTCTTTGCTCTCTCTCCTCGCTCATCCTTCTGGCTGTATGTGCTGGCCGTCTCTCCTCTCTCTCCCCTGGCTGTCTCTCCTCTCTCTCTCCCCTGGGTGTCTCTCCTCACTCTCCCTCCTGGCTGTGTCTCCTCGATCTCTCTCCTGGCTGTCTCTCCTTACTCTCTCTTGCATAGTCTACAAAAAAAATAAAAATTACCACTTGGCTCTAGAGTGTTAGAATTTCACTTGAAGAAAAGGTGGCAACCCTACCTGAGCGCAACACTGAAACTGAAACAGCGGGCGCCATGTGTTTAGTCACTGAGCGGGTGGGCAGATCACACAGATCTCTTTGTGACCAGCTCAGTGATACAGAGTGCTTGCCACTTACATTCCTCACATAACAGCTGCAGTCCTCAGTGCCTGGGAAGCTGCGAGGGAGCAAGGCTGTGGCTTCCTATCCAATCAGGAAGCCAGGTGGATGGTCACATGACCTCCTGCCAGTAGTGTTCATTTAGTTGACTAAAACTTTTCCTCATAGTTTTCGTCAGCTGCATGTTTTCAGTGATGAAAACTAACAGGGTTATTCATAAAGTACAGAAGGACTTCGACTCAGCCGATCCAACATCTGGATCAGCTGAGCCGAAGCTCCGGCAGCTCACTTGCTGCCGCTCACCACTATTCTCATAGGGGCCAAACAGCAGTGAGTGAATAGCCAAATGTTGCCGTACGGCATTTGGCATGGCTATTCTTCTCGGTACCTCTGTGGTACCGAGCAGAATAGCAAATACGTGAAAAGAGTGAAAAAAAATTTTTTTAAAAATTAAGAAATTCTTTTACTTATTATCCAAAATAGGAAATTAAAAATAAAATAAAAATATTTTAAATTAAATTAAAAAAAAGAAAAACAATTGGGTGGAGCTAGCAGTGACAGCTGGCTCCACCCAACTGTTTCCTGTTGCCCGGCACCTGCTAGAGTCTTTTAGCAGGTCCCGGACAATGAATAAGGTAATTTGGGGACTCTGATCTGTCATTACAACTGGGGCGGAGCGAG